CGGCCCCCCGGTCCCTGCAGCCCCTCAGGCTTCAGTCGAGCCCCTGCCATGGGGCTGCTGCTCCAGGAACTGGGTCCTGTCTGGGGATTTCACCCCCTGCACCCCAGTGGGGGCTCAGCCGGGGGGTCCCACGGTGGGAGCTGGGCTGGGGGTGACCACAAACACCTGGGTGCTGTTGGTGGGTGCAAGGCTGGGCTGGGGCCCTGTGCTTTGAGGTGCTGGGATCAGTGGAGGGGGGGGTGGCTTCCCAGGGAGCACGGAAGGTTGCGTTTCGGGATGGAGGGGATGGGATGTGATGAGCACCAGCATCCCGTTCCCTTGCAGCTTGATCCCCCCGGAGAAGTGCCGGCAGGAGGGGGCCTGTCTGCTGCTGACCGTGTTCGACTATGACACGCTGGGGTCCAATGACCTGGAGGGTGAAGCCTTCTTCCCCCTCTGCCACCTGCCCGGCCTCAATGATGATGAGGACGAGGCTGACATGGGACGGGTGCCCCAGACCCGCCTCCCCCTCACTCACCCCAAACCCACTGGTGAGTAAGTGGTGCCCTGCCAAGCCACTGCTGGCCCTGTGGCATGAGGAGGGGGCTGTGGTGAGCATCTCCCACCATCATTCCCCTCTTCTCTGGCAGGGGACGAGATCCTCCGGCTGCTGGAGTCCAGGAAAGGGGACAAAGAGGCTCAGGCCTTTGTTAAGCTCCGTAAGCAACGAGCCAAGCAGTCCAAGGAGACACAGTCCAAGGAGGCAGAGTGAGGGAGGCAGAAGAAGAGGGTCCTGAAATGGTCTGGCCAGTGGATCCCAGGAGATTTGTGGTGCTGGAGCAAGAGCCATCCGCAGGGATTAGGGGGGACAGAGAGGACCTCTGTGCCCCCCCTCACCCATCTCACCCCCACCTTCGGGAAGCAACACTCCCGTGAGCCTGGGGAGGGTGGGCACATGGATTTCAGGGGATTTCTTCGCCTGCCTGGACTAGGAACACTACACGAGGGACATGAAAGACTGTGACTGTCCCTGCCTGTTCCTCAGGAGCTTGTCACTGCCTGTGCCACATCTCCTGGCCCAGTCCCCAAACCTCCTGCCTGCAACAGGCATCAGGGCAATGCAAACACATCCAAGTTGATTCAGTCTGACTGCAACCATGTCCAAAGCTGCCTTCATTTTATTTCTTTTTTTTTACCGTTTTAAATCTTTTTCCCCCTCTTTTTCTTGTGGATAAGCCTCTTATTTTAAATGAAAAGCCACAAAGCTGATGCGTGGGTTGAGTCTGTGCAGTGGCCCTGTGCTGGGGGCAGCTGTGGCAGCAGCACGGCAGGGTGGGACAAGGCATTTGGGATGTGGTGGGAGCTGCTGAAATGTGTATAGCTCTTGTGTCTGGTTTGTTTTGTTTTGGTTTTTTTTTTTTTTTTACCACCAATTGTATCCACCTGCTGGAGCTGAGGGAGCCTGGGCAGCAATAAAGAACATGGCAGTGCTGGCAGCCAAACCAGGAGGCACTTGGGGCTGCTGGAGGCCAGACACAGGGGGCAGGTCCCCAGTGTCACCTCCAACCTCTGCCAGGGATCTGGGTCCCTCTGGAAGCGCTGGGAAGCTCTGCAGGGTGCCTCCATGTGGGATGGCCCAGTGTGACAGCAAATATGCCTGGCAGGACAGGTCGTTGTAACTATTTGCTGGGGGTTTTTTGGTGTTTGTTTTAGCTGCAATAAGTACTAATTACACACCTGGAGCTCCCTCTATCCCCACCCTGCAAGGGGGTGGGTGGCTGTGTTTGAGCTGCAGAGGGTCCCTGGGAGCTGCCCAGGGTATTAAAAGCATCACCCTCACGGGTGCCTGAGCAGCAGCTGCTCCCTCGGTGGGCAGAGCAGCCGCTGGGTCAGTTCAGGTCAAATCCTGGATGCGGGGGTGGGAAAAAAAAAAGCTCCTTTGGTATCTGTGTGACAGACAGAGCCCACAGCAGGAGGGATTAAGGCTCCCAAGGAAGCCATTTGCTGGCTTAGATCACTCGTTTCAGTGCAGAGAAATAATATTCCAGAGACAGGTCTGGGATTGCAGAGAATCTGTCCCGAGGGGGGTCATTTCAGCCGGATTCAGCACCCCAAGCCTGAGCTCTGCAGCTCATTTGGAGTTGGCACCTGTTAACAACCAACCTCATGCTTTATTACAAGGCTTAACTCTACGAGGCTGTAGGTCTGAACGTGTTTTTAGCTTATTTTTTAGCTCTTTGTTTAAAAATCACTATGCTCTAACTCGCCCTGGGCTGCCACCACCCAGGTGTGTCCCGGTGAGCAGGTGCCACGGGCTGACCTCTGTTTTGAGGTTGTTTGCACTGTATTATTATTCAAGGTGTTTCAGCTTAATTTTTCGCTCAACTCCAGGCAGTTGGGTGGGTCTTCTCCCACCCCTGAAGAAATTGTATCTTTTTTTCAGAGAAGCACTAATAAACCTTCACCAATCAGGGCGTCACTAACCACATGGACCAGAGAACAGCCCAAGCATGAGAAAATATGGCTTGAAGCACAAAAAAACAGCTCCTGCTAAATGCAAGACTGAGGAGGAGGAAGAAATCATCATCCTCATCCTGGTGAAGAACCTGACACAGACAGATTGCTGGAACACAAGAGGGAAGGGGACTGGCACTCACATTTACTGATTTTTATTGTGTTACTAATAGTCTCTAATATAAACTGGGTGATTCAGATTATTGTTGCTATTGGACTGATGGGAAGTGGTTGACACATCTTTGAAGCACTAATTAGACCCAAACTAAAAGGTAATTCCTGGATCCATAGGTAAGGCATGTTCTTTTTGGTGCCAACACATGAAACTCTTGTTTGTATTTGCTGCGCAGGCACGGAGGTACTGGCTCACCTCTGCCCAGCCTGGCTCTTCCAGGACAGAAATCCACATCCAGTTCAAGAATCTGGGTGATAAAACTACTCTTTTTTTGTGGTTTTGCCATTTCAGGGGTCTCTGACCAACCTACCTGCACCCCACCGACATTCCCCCTTTTCCACAGCACCTCGATGAGAAAGGCGAAAGGTAACCCCCTGAAAAAGGGGCTTGATCCAGAAGGGAGCTCAGGGAGAAATTAACTCTTGGTTGTGTGAAAGGGAAAAGGCAAAACTGGCCATGGATCTGCTGCTTCGAGGGCTCCACAGCCCAGACTTCCCCACCCTCCCCAGATCCACCTGGGCAGGCACGCGCACACACACGCACACACCGCTTTGGTTTATAATTTCTTTTTTTCTTAGCAAAAAAATAAAAATTTATTGTCCTCTAAAAAAAAAAAAAAAAAAAAAAAAAAAAAAAAAAAAAAAAGAAAAAAAAAATCCATCCTGCCCTTGGAAACTGTGACACAGATTGAGTTCTTTCCAGCCCCACATGCAAAATTCACTCTGCCAAGAAAAGAGTCTAAACCAGGTTTCCGACAGCCAAAACACATATTTACAGAGTACGAGAGAACGACAGCTGAAATCACAGTTCTATACATGGAATCAACAACACGTTTTACACCACTGATCACCATTCTGCCAACTTCTACACGGACTAGGGGCGCTTCTGCCCAGTGCCCTTCCTCCTGGGGAAAGCAGGGAAGGGACTGGGCAAGAATTGCCACCAGAAATACTGCAGTGTGTATTATTATTATTTTTTTTAAAACGTATACTGTATTTATTTTGTTTTAACATTGGAAGCTACGGAGTGGGGAAGCCCCAGAAATCTCTCCGATGCAGTCACTACTTTGCAGGAATATTTCACCTTTAAAATACTAGGTTTTACATCAGTAACATCTATTTTGCTGTTGGCCATCACTCCAAGGATTATTACAACTCTGGAGGAAAACACTGGTAATATTCTTCCTTCTCAGATGGGGGAAAAGGAGGAAGAGAGGAGGTTTGGAGGCTGGTGGAACAGCAATGGATGACTGAGTCCATTCAGTGTTATGGGCTTCCTCCCAGGGTAAGGAATTCTCTTCATTGTCTCAGCTGCACAAGCCTTGCAAGTGGCTCAGGTTCAGCTTCAGAGATGTACAGAAAGTGTAAAACCCTTCAGCAGGGGATCAGCTGCACTGACCCCCCCAGGGGTGGGGACCTGCTTAAGGAAATGTGCTCCAGCTCCGAGACCTTTCCCAGGTCCCTCCTGTGTCACCGGGTCTTTGCCACTGCTGGCACATGGCTACAGCATCTAAGGCTGGAGATGAGCTAAAAGTGCTCCTGTTAGCCCGAAATGATAAAATCCTTCAGCTCCTGGCTCTCATCTACAGCTCCAGCCTTGCTTTTTGCTCTCCATCTACCCAGCATAGTGTTGTCCTAAGCCAGCTGCTTCTAGACTGGTTTTCCATAATAATGTAAAAATTTATTGACCTTTAGGATACTGTGGTTTCACAACACAACCACAACTCCCTTCCCCCCAGCTCTTAATTCAGAAGTGCCTGACCTGCACCATTAGTCACAGAGGTTCAACACTTCTGAAGCTCCCAAAAATCGGGGGAGGAAAATGTCATTATCCAATAAGGAGTCTGTGTGAGGAGGCAGGACCCAGCCGTGGTCAGGGCTGGGCTGCTCCTCAGGGAGCCTCGTGGACCCAAACTTCGTTTTGAAGCCCCCTCAGTTCTGACGTGTTACTGTGTGTCCTGTAAAGGGAGTTCCTGCTTCAGAAGGAAGCCTGACAGTACGTGACAGGGGCTGCACTTATTAGCACCAGGTTTATTTCAGCTCTTTTCACACCATACAGAAGCTGATCACAGACTCTTAAGCCTTAACTGCAGTGCTGTGATTATGGTTTGTCCTTCCTGCCTAGGGCAGGCAGCAAAAACTGCTGAGTGGGTCAGGAATGCTGCCCCTTCCCCCTGCTCTCACCTCATTTGGTTTGGAAATTGTCATAAAAGTGGCCCCCCAGAACATTCACAAAATATGCAAAGATGAAGTTCTCTTTTCCATCTGATGCTTAAGAAAATAAATTCACATTTCAGATATTCCTTTTTCTTTTTTTTTTTAAAGCAGCAAACAAATTAATAAAAACCTAAATTTAGGAAGTGTTGCTTCAAGAACCAGAGGAAAGTGAGAAACAGTCTATGTGCTTGTGCAAAGAGAGTGTTAAGAGGTTGGGGTGGGGGCAAGGGAAGGGTCGAGTGCTAATTCCTTCAGGCTGTTCTGCCATGAGTGCAGTGTGGCAATGGAAAGTCAAAATTTAAGGGCCACAAACAGGTGAAATTTTGAATTCTTTGGTCCTTCAGTATAAATTTTAAAACAGAGAAACTGTTTTACTCAAAAGGGAAAAACATATTTTCTCTGGCCTGGAATTTTCCTTGTACCCCCTCCCTGCCTAAGCAAATGCACCCCATGGAAACTGGGGGCAAACAGCTCTTCCCCCTCAACCCCCCAGCCCTGCATCGCCCCGTGACTGGAATTCCCAGGGACACAGCCCCGAGGTGCCACCAGGGGACAAATTCCAGCTGAAGGGACAAGTGAAGAGCCCCTGTGGGAATTGTTGCAGTCACAGGGCTGGTGCTGGACAGATCTGAAAACAGAGGGTTGGCCAAAGGCAGCATCACCCTGAGCAGCCCCCGGGGAGGCAGAGGAGCAGAAAAACCCCCACGCTCATAAAAAGTGTTACAAACCATAGCCAAAACGGGCTGATCAGCTCTGCTGCTTATAAATATTAAAGTCCTGATTCAAGAGTTTATTTCCTATGATTTAAGTTAGTTACAAAAAAAACTTTTTAGTAAATTTTTTATCTTAATTGGGCTTTTTTCCTCCTCCCCCCCCACTTTTAAATTTTTTTTTTTATTTTTTATTTTTTCCTAAAAAAAAGAGAAATGTTCACGTATTTTAATAAAAGGTCTTTCCTTAAGATCAGACCAAGGCAGATGTGCTGCCCCATGGCACAGACATTCAAAGGCTATAACCAAACAACATAGCCACAATAGTCACTCAACAGTGTCTCTCCATTAAAAAAAATTTAAAAAAAAATGATGCTAGTTACAATAAAATACACATGGAAAAAAAAAGCATTTTTACCAAAAAACCCAAAAACAAGTTAATGGGAAAACATAAAAAAGAACTACACAGAGCTGCACTTAAGAGATCATCTGGGAATGCATATTAACCCCTTCCATGGAGAGGAAAGGTGGAATTACGGAAGCAAACCTAATTATGTGTTTGTATTAAATATGAAGCTTTCTGAGAGGCTCTGGTAAAAATTCAGTTTTCCTACAATAGTGGGCTGCTGGAGGTTCCAGTGCTTTTCCAGGTCAGGGAGGGGCAGCACGGGAGCATCCCTGTGCAAAATAAAAATGTTTAGTCCAACTGAGTGGCCTTTTGGTTGAGATCCCAGCAGGTTACTGCAATCCACCTGATGTGAAAATCCAACGGACACACTGGTAAGGAAAAAAAATCACAGGAAAGCTCAGCTGCTGGACAGGGAAAGGTGGTGGCATTTCCCCGTCCTGCTGGACTTTCTGTCACCACACACACCTCTAACACGAGGCTTTCTGGAGCCAGCAGTCCACAAACCAACCTTGAGCTGCTGACACAGGCAACATCAACTCTGTTTAACAAAACTCAGCCTACCTGGAATTGTTTCATGCACTTCAGCAGTGACTACAAATCAGGTCCCTGTGGCTAAAACAAAACTGATCTGGTCTGAAACAGTAAAAAACCTCCAGACAGCCACCAGACAAAGGGGTGCCTGGAGAGAACTAACCTCTGCATCCAAATTTCCTTCATAAAGGGCTTTAGCTGACCCAAGGGCAATACTTTTAAGGCTGCTCAGACCTGGAACATGTTGGCTGTATCAGCAATGAACACCAGTCACTGAATTTTGGGGCTTGGCTTGCTCTAGGTCCAATAGAATTATTTTTTTTTCCCTCTTTTCTTCTTTTCATACAAATATACAAAGAGCGTAAAAAAATTTAAAAAGTGAACTTTGCTGCTTAAATGACAGACAAAGTTCCTGCACATTCAGAGATGGGCAACGTGAGGCCCACCAGGCAGAGCTTCCATCAGGGAGGACGGCTTTAACCAAGCTGGGTCAGTGAAAGAGCGGGGGACCGAAGGCATGAACAAGTCATTTCAATCCACCTCGATCCTCCCCGTGATCTCAACTCTTCCTCTGGAAAGCACATGGAAGCCCCTCTTGCCCACTCTAAGTCCTTCTGGAAATAGTCAAAAATTTGTTATCACCTAAATAGAAAAGAGGAGAAACACAGACTCTTTGCAAACGGCCCTTTGATCTGTATTAAAAACAGCTCTCAAAGTTCATCAAGAGTTAGAATTAGTGGGGCACGGGTGAGGGGCAGTTTAGATACGGGATGTAAAATATTAAAAAGTGCTCTGCAACTAATTTTTTGTTTCATGTGCGTATGTGCCTGCGTGTGCATATCCCTACACATGCACAAACACGCACATACACACACATATATACATATATATATATACACATACATATATATGTACGTATGTATAAAGTTAAAAAGTTCTATACGATATGATTAGAACAAGTGTCCTTGGAAGGTCACGACTGGAGAGAGTGGGGCCTGTTGGGATGGCAGATGGGGCACTCGCCCCCCTCCTCGGCGCAGGTTTCACACAGCACTGCGTGTTGGCACGGTAACACCACCCGGTTCTCCTTCTGACACTTAAGGCATTTCACTGACTGCATCTGAAATACCGCCTGCAAGAGAGGGGGACAGGGCACAGCGTCAGCAAAGGGGGCTGCACGGTTTGGGGGACAGCAGGGAAGGACTTGCAGCTGCCCATCTCCCGAAGCAAAAGCGAAGAAGCACGGCACAGCACGATGCCTTTTAGGAGGTTTGGGGTCAGCAGAGCAGCTTTGATTGACTCGAACTCTGTACATCAGGCATAAAGGTGGAGGCATTTTCCTGCAAGCTGGCTAAAACTCACTGTGGTTACATAACCTGGAAGTGCTCTGAAGGGCTCCTGATTTCTGGCTACATTAAAGAAAAGGGGAAAAGCTGAGATCTGTAGGAGCACAGGGAGCAGAGCCCCGCAAACCCCTGGCACTCACCTTGTCGACCTTCTCCAGGTTTGCCCGCAGCTGTTTCTGAAGGGTGTAAAGCGACGAGAGCGAGAGCGTCTCCAGGTCAGAGAAGGAGCGCAGGAATTGTGGGTCCTGGCCTGTGTGGATCCTCTCCAGCTCCTCCTGCAGTTTCTTCACTTGCAGCTCCAAGGCTTCCCTCTGCTCCCGGGCCAGTTCACATTCCATGTTAGCTGTGTTGGCGCGATCATTTGCTTCCTCTGCCTCCTTTTTCCAAGCATCACAAGCCTACGAGTTCCAACAAAGAGGGTAAAAGAAGCACCCTGAAAACTCAGTCTCCCAAGAGAATTCCAGGCAAAAGAATCCACTTCCATACTCTTCTCACCAGTTCTGTCCAATCTGCCCTGGTCCCAAATTCTGAAACATGTCTGGAGCTTTGCTTCAAGGCTCTGCTCATTCCAGACATCCCATCTGGTTGGGCTGTGGTTCTACACATCTGGCTCACACTGTTCAGTGGATGAACTTTGCATGCTGGCAAATTACCATGGATCAAAGTCAACTGGCAGGTCTGAGACACTGTCAAGTGCCTCAGTGCATCTGTTATGACACCTGGCCTTGCACTGCCAGCACCTGAACCACATCAGGCACGGTGATTCAGCCCCCCTTTCCAAGGGATGGGAAAGAAGAAGAACGCTGAAGAGAACCTGTAAAACCTACAGCTCTATCCATCACCTCAGTGTCTGGAGGACTCCTGTTGAAAGGCTGACACCCTCCTACTCTATACTCCCTAATCCCTGTTCCCAGGAGTTGCCCAAGTACCTGTTTGGCTTGTTTCCAAGACTCTTCCCACTGCTTTATTGTGCCGTTGGCCTCATCCAGTTCTTGTCGTAGCCGTGCCAGCTCCGCAGCACCTGGACCTGACAGAAATGCAGGTGAGGTACTGGGCGAAAAACTCCCCGAAGCAAAGTGTTCCCATATGCTGCTGTTCATCCCATTTAAACCTGTTTCACAGGGAAATAGAGAGGGTTATGTCACAGGTGCTGGCAATTTCCCCATTTCCTCCCTACCCCTGTGAAATCCAGGATTCAAAAACATGTCAACAGGATAAAAAGTTCATCTTAAGAATCAGTTTCATCCCCAGGACCCCGGAGTCCATCACAGAGGAACTTTATAGGGAAATTTCACACCATTAAGCCTCATCTTTAGTGGAGGACCCACGATACTGAGTGGAGGCAACTCTTGAATCAGACTGCTTTTAGAAGCATCGATTTTACAGCAGAGCTGACGATCAGCTGGAATCCCCCTTCTCACAGGAGAACCCCTGACCTGCTACTACATTCCCACTTTTCCATGCAGCACAGCCACCACAGTTGGTTCACACAGCCCAGGTGGTGCTTCCTCTCACACTGCACCCTAAGAAACTTCTGCTTTTGGCTCCTCAGTCTGGGGCTTAGAAAAGGAGTCTCACTTGCAAACAGTGGCATGAAAATGCTCCAAGTCATCACTGTTTCCACGTGCAAAAAACAGAACTAACTGGAAAATCCTGTTTATAAAAAGGTAGAGAGACAACAGTATCTACATCAGCTTCATCCTCAGCAGAGTTCTAGCACAGAGCTAGTGAACAGCATCAGAGAAGACTGACTAACCACCTCCCTATTTTAGCTTGTTCAAATAAATGCCCTTTTCAGGAAGAAACTCAAGGTTTAGGAGACAAAGCAGTGGGAAAACAGGAGTAGACAAAACTAGCCATTTTTCCACTGAGTCCAATGTTTGTACTCTTTTAATAACAAAAATGTTTTCACTTAAATGAATTACCCACACCTTGTACTCAGGGGAGAACTAGTAGGAAAAGGTAATATTGAGACAGAGTGTGGACTCTTACCCACACAGTTTGCTCCAGTCTGATGTGGGAATCATTTTCATGCTACGGTGCTCACCACTGGCTGTGAACATTCCTAAATTAAGTTGCAAGTGATAATTCTGATCTTAGAGCAGCTGAACTGTGTCTGCAAGTAAGCCCTGGAGCCAACGGCCTCTCACCAAGCTCTAACCCACCACCACCGACTTCCCATTTAGTACCAGCCAAGACACAAATAGTTACAAAAATGCAGTTGAAAAATAGTAACTTGTCTTCACCAAGGGTTCAAGGCACATTAACAACTCATTTAGCAGAGCAGCAAAGGATCTTTGCTGGCTCAGGCCACTTACCAGAGATCATTTCAGCTGCTCTGAAGGGTGCTCAGTCGAAAGCAAGAAGTTTTAATGGAACCCCGACTCACATTCTGTTTTTTAAACTTCAGTTTTCTTGAATGGGAATCTAGCACTAAATGGGATGCTGGCAAGCCACAAATTCTGCCATAATGCTGATCAAGCTGATCTTGCAATTTGTTTTTACTCTCTCTTTCCACCTGCTGTTCTCATTTCACATCTGAAGTCTCAAGCCTCTTTGGTCAGGAATGCCTTCTCTGTGCATTTTGCATCAGCACAGTGGAAACCAGCCCAGGACTAGGTATTTTTCACTCAATTGCAATACAAAAAAAATAATAACTCCACACTCTACACGTTACTTATGTGCATTCAGTAATTTACATGGAACAGACAGATTCCAGATTGCCAACTGCTAGGTAACTATTTATATATCTTCTCAAAACCTCACCAACCGGTATTTCAGGAAAATATCTAACCTTTTTCTTATAAATAAATTATTAAAATGCATTTGTGAATCTCCTGCATTTTTTTTTGGCTTTTCATTTGCATAAATACATAGTCAAGATAAAATATAACTCTTATTTCTTCTGAAATTAAAAACAGGCCTTATCAGCAATTTTTCTTTTCCTTACTAAAACGGGGACAAACAGCCAGCCTCAACCCTAATTAATAGCTGAGATGCCCTCTGATGTCTCTTACTACAGTAATTGTAAAAGCTGCTAAAGCCAAACAAACAGCAATGACAAGCATGGAAACATGGGTTTGGGCTGTGCAAACACGGGATGCAGTTACACAGATAAGTGCATGCTGAAACAGATTACAAAAGCATGTAATCGTTTTATTAGGTTAAGCTGAATATTAAAGATTAAAGTGTATCTCAAATTTGAAGAGGCATTTATGTCTAGCATCAATAGAGAGAATTAATATTTACTGTTATTAACAGAAATGAGCGGAACTGGTGTCACTGTAGCCTGGAGCCCAAACAGTTTTATTTCTCATGGCAACCCTGTGTCTTGATAACAAAATAGTTTGTCCCCTCAGTTCCCAGTTCTTCCTGATACAGCCGAAGCTCCAAAGCAGGTTCTCCTCCCTTCACTCCCTCATACAGGAAAGAGATTCTCAAGGGGGGGAAGGAGCCAAGGGGACAAAGCTGGAAAATTAACTTTTTGCAAAGTCCACACTGCAAAACCGGTGCAGAGCATCAAACAGAAAAATTACAATGCCCTAAGCCTGCTCTAGAGCTTCCAGAGCCAGCCTGACCCACAAGCAGCCCCAAAGGCAAACTGCAATCCCCACCTTAACTAAGCAAAGCTGAGGACCCAGTTCTGAGTTTTATATGAAGTCTCAGCACAGAACTGCTGTCAGGAAAAGGCAGAGATCTTTTCCCTGAAAGGCATCATCAGAGCAAGTCAATTAACCTATCTGCCCCTTTCTCTCAGCCTAGAAACACAGAAAGTAGAGGGAATTGCTCCCTTGCTCACAAGGTATTAGCTGATTTTTCGTAAAGCAGCTCCTAGTACCATTGCTGTTCTCATGGGAAGAAGAGATACAAATGACAGCAGTGAAGTAACACATTAAAATAAAGCTAACTTAAAAGAAAATACTTACATGGCACAGACAGGCATGTACATGGGGACACACACACTGTGCATTTACCTAATGATCCATGAGAAGCTGATGTCCCCAGGAACGTGTTTTCTGATTGGCTTAAGTGTCCCTGGGGCTGATGGAGGAAATGCGATGAGAGGCTGACCGGTGGAGAAGGAGAGGCAGAGTGAAAGGAGGCAGAGCTTCCAAGGGACCCGGGGATATTTACAGGAGCAGAACTTTGCAGCAAACTCCCACCTGGACAAAGAACACACAGAGAGGATGGCTATGTATGACCATGAGGTGTGGGCACAGGGCAGGAGTTCAGAGCAGAAGGCGGTAGGTTCCCTTTCTCCTCCCTAAGCCCCTCGGGATTCCCTCCACTTCTCATGTTTTATTCCCCTCTTTTAGAGGGGCCTTTAAGAGGAGCACTGAAGCTGCCATCCCATGACCCACGTAGGTTAAGACCCTCCAGGATTCAATGGACCATTCTTTTACTGGCCAAAGCAACAGAAGGTTTCCTGAGCAGAGTTCAGTCCCTGTCAGCCTAGAGAAGATGAATTTGGTAAAACACTCTGTCACGAAAAATTCACTGCTAAAACATGTGTCTCTGCCTCTAATGCTTCCAAACAACCTGTAATGAGAAGACTGTCATGCCAGGTGAAGTCATGATCTTAACCACTAAAAATCAGTGCCTAGCTTTAGGTAGTTCAGATATACCTGAGCGCCTGGATCTATCAGTAATAAAAAAACCAAATAAAGGAAAGCCTAAGCTCAAAAGACATCAACTTCCCTTACACTGGAGGTTTGTCTGCCTGCCACACAGATTAAGGGAGGTCTCAGCCCTGCTCCCTTCTCAGAAAATCACTAGGTAACACCAGCCCTGATGGGAAGAGAAGGATCCCTAAGGCACTGCAGATGGGGAGCAGCAGAAGCAGGGCTGGCAGTAGACAGGTACAGTAAACTCTCCAACCAGGCTCTAACCTTTGGCAGGGAAGTGGAAGTGATATTCTCTAGAGCTCTTTCCACAGCTCCCTTCCTATCTCTACAGCTCCAGGCAGTGGAGTTCCCTTGGAAACCTTCAGACAACCAGAGTTTGCTCCCGTTCAAACACTTGCTTTGCACAGCAAGGGCGGCCAGAAACTACAACCACTTCCAAAAAGTTACGAGACCTTTCGTTTTTCCCTGGACACCCATCAGAGACAGGCAGAAGAGGCCTTAGCCTACCTCCACGTATCAAAATGAGACAGACAGTACAGGAATCAGATCAGCAGACCATGACGACACTCTGTGACAGATGGATGGCATTACCAGGTCAGTGAGTTTCCTCTTACAGCTAGGGAGAACTTTCTGCTTAAGATGCAAATTGTTATGCTTTGGTTTTTAAATTTATCAGATGCCTTCTAGAGTCCACTTACACACTCAAAAAAAAAAAAAAAAAAAAAGAAAAAAAAAGAAAAAAAAAAGGAAAAAAAGAAAAAAAATCAAGCAAGTCCCATTCAGTCTCAAGAAACATCCCCAAGACATCTGGGCCCAATGGCAACAACTCAGCTCTGCTAGTCAGTAAGGGCAAGCTCTCACTTCAAAGATGCTCAGGGGTTGCCAGAGTTTGTTATAATTGCTGCTTTAACCAATGTTATTTTGGGACTGGTTTTAGAGCTTGGTTGGGCTGGCTCCACTGAGGTGACTGGGCAACACTGCTTGGCAGAAGATAAAGAAAGCTCTGTTGCTTTCATGTACCTATCATGATGCCACTCGTGTGGGGCACTGTGCTGCTGTCAAATGTCTTCTCCAGGGCAGCCACTCCGAATTCATTCAGGTCCAGGTCATCCAAGGCAGACTCTGCCAGACACAGAGGTACCAATTATGTTATAAAGGACCAACAACTTCAAGAGATAGGATGGCCCAAAGAGCCTACATGCAGAGGAGCCTGCACTCTCTATTTGTCAGGGCCCTACTCTACGCCCTGTTCTGAGACTGTTTGGCAGAAGAGTCATGGGCAGCTTTTCAATTCAGGTTCTTTTACCTGATCTGATTTCTTTTTGTCTCAAAGTATTCCCAAATGTTTTATGAAAACAAAAAAGCGATGAAATAACAGCAGATCCCATAAGCCTTCCCCAAACTGCTCTCCTAAAGCTGTCTCTAATATGCAGGAACACTGGCTTATGGAATGTCTGGGTCTGGCTTGTGCTTTGTCCCTACCTTCCCAAAAAGTAGAAGGGAACACTGAAAAACATCTCTGAGGTTCAAAGATAGGGTAAAATAAAGCTTATTAATGCCTGCAAGTGTTATATCTGTTTGAACATGCCTCATCACTAATGATGATCAATATAATTCCATCCCACACATGCCCACTCATTTCTATTATTATTTTTATCAAATTAGTGAGATCACCTCAGAAATGTTATATTTAATTAAAAAAAAATGAAAAAAGAAAAAAGAAAAACAGGTGACCAAAAAGCCTGTACCTATCTAAGAGTGACTCCACTCTCTGTTCTCATGTTTTCCTTTTTCTTTCAGCCTCTGTCCTACACTGTGAAGGGCAAGTCCTTACAATCCACCTGGAGGCAGCCCTGGCTATAAAACTGTCATTTAGAACATAAGGGATTGTAACTGTGGAAAAATGCCCCTGTGATTTCCTGCCTACTCCAAGACCTCTTTGTCACTTTGACAAACCTAAAACTAAGGCCCTTTGCAACCATGTGACATTCTGAGTAAGTGGCTCAGAGGCCTTCAGTTGGTCCCGTGGGTGAATTTCATCCATAATGACCTGCAGAAAACATCAGATGTGTCACAGTCACAGAACAAGCCTCAGGAATCTGCCAGCACTGACAGAGACGGAAAACTGGAGGTCACTGGAACACCCATGATATTCCAGCTCTCATACCTGGCAATCCATGTCTGAGGAAGCCCTACCAGCACGAATAAAAAAAAAGCAAAGTTACCTATGACAGACTCAACGGTGTCACTGGTTGGGTAGAAGGGAAGGGCATTGGCATTCATGCCTGGAATGCTGCTGGTGCCAGCAGGGCTCGGGGGTGTTGCAGCCAGACTGGAGGTGATACTAGAGGAGATGCTGGATGTCAGCGGGCTCCCCACTGGGAGAATACCCAGAATGTCCTGAAACAAGAGTTTGAGAAGGGAAAGAGGAAGGACATAAAACATCTTTACAGAAGAACCCCTTCAGAAACACGCAGCAACGAGCCACGGATCAGCAGCAAACCTGTTTCCTGCCTGCTTCCAACCTGACAGATGGCTACTGCTACTACTGGGCTGGGGGTGGGGAGAGATTAACAGCTTTTCTTTAATTTCTGTCGACTGGTCTCCATTCCACGTCCCTCCCCCAGTATTCTAAACATCTTTCAGGCTGCCCCAGAATTAACTCCTGTGACCCACAGGTTGCATGCAATCACAGCCATGGGCCACACAATCACTCACTCAGTTCAGCACACGACTTAGAACCTGATATTAAATTCCCTTTGCCAAATCCTTGAACTCAGATGACTCCAGAGATCCATTCCAGCTCAATTTTCTGTAATTTGAAGACTCTCTCCAGCACAGTCCAGCTCTATGAATTCATCCTGAATTCACTCAGGTCTAACTACTGACAAATAACACCTCCAGCAAATCATCCCATCCTCATAAGTAATCCCTCCAGCTGAGCATCCCTAATGGTGTCTGGACCGTTATTTACTCCCTGCAGAGCTGTCTGGATCCACAGAGATTTCTCAGTGGTGGTGGAAGCACTGAGCTGGGTTCAGAGCCCTGCTGGCAGTACCATACCTGTTTGGGCTGTAACAAAGGTTGCTCCTGGCTCCTGTGTTCCAGTGAGTGGGACTTCATTTTTGCTTGCTGCAGTAAAGAAACAAAACAAAAGATAAGCAGAGGGATTATTTAGCAAAATTTGAAATGGGAAACACAGCCCACTCCTCTCTCGGTCTGCTCAAGGCACTAGAGAATTTGGAGAGAGGGAAAGCACAGCAAACTGAAAACGCTCCAAGTAATTTATGCTTTCTGTACACCAAGATATCACCCTTAGAGTTATGTAAAGACTTGTCACAATGACATTTGCCTTCAGTGCTGCTCTAAGTCCCCTGCTACCACAAAGCACATCCTAAGAACCAAGATCAAAAATGAATTATTTTGCCTTGCTATAACTAACTCATCAGCCCTACTAGCATCTAAAAACCAGAAAGGGCCAGAAATGGTGGGAGGCATACTACATTTTTAAATTATGTAAATATTTTTCAGTTTGGGGAAAATAAAGTCTGTATATTACATTTTTGCTCAAACTCTTCCAGCTCCCAGCTAGGACTGCAAAGTAAAATAACTAATCAACTTTCAAAAAAAATCATTAAAACTGACTTTATAAAAAATCCTTCCCCCATCCATTAATATGAGAGCTCAAAGCTATAAAACATAAGTGAGGTTAAGACTGTCTGGAATTGCAAAAGTTCACAATGCCAACATACACTTAGAATTCCACTACCCAGCCTAAAAATTCAGCTTAAGGACCTTCCAGCACTATATCCTTAATGGATATCAATTCTCTTGCCTTGCAACATCAGTCAATTCTGATGGAACTCAGTTGGGAAGGAAGTGGCCTCAGGAGCCTGTCAGTGTGTAACGGTCTGTCTGCAGACCTTGCTCCCTTCCTCCCGTGCTGTGACACGGCACAGGGAGATCAATCACAGCCTCTGGGCACAGACAGGGAGCAAAAAAAGCAGTGAGAGTCAGTGCTGCTTGTTTACTCCCTCTCCAGCCTCCCCAGCCTGAAACACAGACATATTCCAGGCATAAAGTGCACGCGATGGTTTTTATCCCAAATGCAGGCAAGGCACCATCTCTGCAGGGAGATGTGCAACAGCAGCACACGAGACACCCCGCTGACCTGAAGTGATATGCCTTGACTTCTTGGCTTAAACAGTCTCATGACAAAGATAAATGATTGCTGGAGAGGGATGACATAACCAGACAGGCGAAAGAGCAGCGGAAGAATTCATCCCTTGGTTTTACTTCATTAAATCATTTTCCCTGCTCAGCTGTACGCCTGTGGGCAGATGGGGAGGTCAAAGCCTGGCAGCCAGGCAGTTGAGATATGGACACAAAGATCCTTCTGCAGTGGGTACCACTCTCTCACGCTTCCCTGAACAACATGCAGTGTGTTTACACACAGCAGAACTGCCACTGAACCCACCACGGGCTTGTTCTCCTTTGTGAGCGGGAGCTGCGTTACGTGAGTGCATCTGTGTGTGTCTGATAACACGCCTGCTACATTATCCAACACATCCCTGCCCCCCCTGACACTCCTCTGAACACAAAATGTGCTATCACAGACGTCACAGCTGAAGGGAAGGCACTTACACAGCCGTGCCCCCACTGAGAGGCTTCCTGCCAACGTAGGGAGTTTGCTCTGCTGCAGTTTAGTTGTACTGGAAGGGGTTTTTTTCCTTTAAGGAGGGGAAAAGTGAACCCATTTCCACGTTAGTCCCAATTTCCACTGCCTTGAATTCACAAAACATGAGCAAACCAAATGTCACCACTAAGCCAGTCTCCTTTAGCTCTGAATAACATTAGAAAGGGCATACATCGAGACAAAAATTCAAAGGACAGGCTGAAATTCTCCAGCTCACTCTGCTGCAGTCAGGGAAGAGGACAAGGGACATAAATTATGAGTGAAACTAAATGTTTTCTGACCAGCATGGAACAAACCTACTGTGCTGTGTGTCAGGACTTGGGAACACCTCCTGGTCGTGGTATTCAAGTCCTTCCAGTGCAGCCAGCATTTTTCCAGCTTGCTAAATCTTTTGGGACTGGGGAAAAGTATTTTTAGCTTTAACTGCTGGCTCAGCCTTACCACAAACTATGTGGAATCTATTAAGACAGAAGGTGTATTTTTCATTCTAATAAGATAGAAACTATTTGTACTAATTCTACAGAGGAAAAATGACAAGCCCATTGCAGAGCTGAGCCAGAGCGACTCCAACGTTTTTATATAGGAGTTGACAAAGTTAAATGCCTAATTAGTGGTCCAATTTACAGGGTACATGAGAATCTCTGGTGCCCACTGCAGCCAAAGGGAATTACAGAAGAATTTAAAAAGTAAGTAATTACAGATTAAAATAAAATTAAATCAGGACATTTATGAGACACCTAATTTTGTCTGTAGAAGCCTAGCATAAGGCAATTGTGATTACTTCTGTCTATACCTTAATAGCTATTTATTCCAGTCATTTAACACAGGTTTTGCTTAATTAAAGCCACATAATTAAGAAGCTATGTGAATAAAGCATCTTTGTAGCACAGATTCAACTTCAGATATAAATGCTCATCCTCTGGCCCTCCTTTTAAAAGTCCTATTCATGCTCCAACCCCTTTCTCCTTGGCTTAGGCTTGCTGCCCATTTTCTCCAAAGCAGGGCCTCCCTGGCACTCTGCCTCTGCTGGCAGCAGACAGGGGTTCTCTCAGTCCTTCAGCTCTGGGTTCACTCCTCCTTTGCAGCAGAGGCCACAGAGAACGAGGACATGCTTTTTCTTTTGTTTCTAAACAACTGTTACAAGCTGCTGTGCCCATGAGAAGTGCCAGGATCACAGCATGGTCTGCTCTTTACCCCCAAAGACGTGTTGCATCAATTTGCAGTTTCCTAAGCCACATCCCCGTTAAGCCAGACAATGGAAGCATTTATAAGAGAGCACACATGCATATAGCTTAATCTGGATTTGTCACTGCATCATTTTAATTAGACTAAACAGTGTTCAAGACTTGGTCCTACTGCAAAGCTTGGTCATATTTTCCCAAAGCTGTAAAAATAAATAAAACAAACCCCATGGAGTCTGCTTCTAAATTCAACTACTTTATGCAAGACCTTGTCTGGACGGGATATTTCCACTGTTTTCTCACAGCAGTGCAATACAGAAGCAGCAGTACAGACTCATTAAGGCTGACTTCTTTAATGGCACAGACAAGAGCTTAAACGTAGCCAGGCTGAAAGCAGCACTTCTTGTCATCTCTGTTCTCAGGCAACACAGACCTGGTATTCTTATTCCTTTTTATATTTTTTTTTCAAAAGAACTCGGGAGATATTTTTGCAGGCACCTCCTCATGCAAGTAGCTATTCCCTTCCCCCTAAATCAAGATGTTGTTCTATTACAATTACAAACCCAGTGAGACATAAAACCTGAGACCGGAGCTCTGGGTTGGGCTCAGGTTGGAAGGGACGGTGCAGAGAAACTATTCATTGTTAACATCAAGAAAGCAAATTCACACTAAGAAGCTGACTGTGGAGAAGCTCATGTGTGGCAAAGAGGTGGAAGAGACTGTTGCAGGCCTAGGGAGCACTATGAATAAGGCATGACACCAGGAAGAAGACTGGGGAAGCAGCAAGGCGAGACTGGGATATTCAAAAGGGATAAGAGGGAATGTCATTAAAAGATATGGATTGGGTAAGATTCAGAGGATTCTTCAAATGAGAATGAGGAACTGAAATTTAATACAGAAGCCACAGGAGAGAGTCAAGGATCAGAATGATAGGGCCAGAGAGGAAAGACACAACTAACATGACATTTTTAATACACCAGAGAAATGAACAGTGAAAACAGAAGACAAACCAAGTCATAGAGGTCAAGGTAAGAGTCTGAAGTGGGAACAGAGAAGGAAGGATGAGACAATGAGACAATACAGCAAAAGAAACAGCAACTCTTGGCAAGGAACTAAATATGGAAAAAGAAAGACCAAGAAGTGATGTGAGAAGCTACCAAGGGTCAACACAGGACAGGAGTTGTGAGGGGTTGGGAAAACAAGCAGCAGCTCCACTTCCACAAAACAGAGTGTGTGATGGCAGCAAGGCAGACAAGAATGGATGTAAGATGAAAAGGGCTGGAAGGGAGGCTGAAAGCAACAGCAGAGATCTGGAAATGCACAGGAGAACAGTGCTTTCCCACTTCTGTTCCATCAAAAATAAAAACACAATCGAGCTAGACTGGGCAATCTCTCCTTCTTCCTCATCCCCCCAGCTCTTCCAGCCAATATTCCCTACTAACCTGGCATTTGAAACTCTTCAAATACTCGGCCCCCACCTGATCTTCTCGCTCAAACCCCGGTGCCTTCTTGTAGCTGCCGGCTGCTGTTACTGAGTCAGGAGGAAAACCAATGGTCTCCAAGCTGTGGGGCTTTCCAATGGCACCGGGAGGAGACCCACATATATTAGATGGGCTTCCAAGACTGCTGTTCCTACAAAGAATCTAACAGAAGGAACAAGTGTCAGGAAAGTACAGCCAGCCAGGAGCAATGACATGAAGGGGAGAGGCACCCCATGGAAGGGCTCAATTCACTTCACTGTTTGCAGACCGATTACACTGACAGTCAACAAAACTACACAAGCTTTCAGTAAACAGTAATTAAAAAAAAAGGGAAAAGCTCCACTGGATTTTTACAGTCCCACAATTATGGTTTTACTGTCGCTCCTTCGGAGTGCAGTCTTGTAAAATCCAACCTACAGCTCCAGTGACATTTATCCTTTTTGAAGCCTCAGATGTGACTGATCCAAGTTTCCAACCTGACCATAACTCTATTCTCTTTCCTTAGGCTACAGTGGATCCTGTCTGACTCTGGGTAGTAGTGTGAAACCTGGAAAGGTGCTTTGGCAGTCAGAACAACCAAACATATCTGAGTTATTGTGTAATATTGTATTTTTTGCTTTCCAGTTGGAAATCTGAAAGCTTTAATGCAGACATTAAAGCTGTATCAACAGCTGCATTAGAAAAACCTCAATGATTTCCAACAGTTCCATTCTTTGGACTAATACCAGGGACCACAATCACATGCAATAAGGCTAGTTTTGCACTGTAGATGAAGCCACAGACAGCAGTAAGATGAGCTTTAGAGAATGTGTCCACCTGGATCAATGCAAACATCCCATTTCTCTGGGACAAAAAACTATTCACCTGCGCTGACAAGCATGACTGTGCTCCAGACATCACAGATTCAAATGTGGCACAGTCTGGGCTGGCATTAGGGGAAGAAAAAAAAAAAAAAAGAAAAAAGAAGGAGCAGCCTACAATGTTTTGGGTTTATTTTTATCCAGACATTCTGCTGTCCACGCTTCCCTACAGTCGCAAAGATACTACTCACTGTGGTGGAGGTGGGGCTAGTTGGCAGAGTTCCTGATTTATTCCACACCTACAGTACAAATACAAAACAGAACAGGCCACGTGAGGCTGGCGGCTACAGGGACCTTTTTTCTCTGATTAATTCATCATGTAAAATGATCACCAGCAAAGCCATATTTGTTTGCAAGCTACATGCAGATGCCCTGTGGAGTGATGAAGTCACAGACAGACATGTGTTGCCATTTGGCACATATCCAAGGATTAGGAAAGACTGTTTAAAAAACTAAGAGCCTGAGATAGAAAAGACCTAAACGGTCTAATACGTAGGAGATATCTTCAACTTCTCTGCAGCTTTCAGAGATTTTAGATGATATGTTCATAAGATGAAGGGGGTTTGGTTTTTACTTCTTTCCACAGTGTTATTTAGTAAGAGACAATATTACATCCAGACTTTTCAAGATCTGTTTGGAATTCTAGCTGCAATCAAATTCAGGACAACTATGAACTGTTATGTTGGCTTTGGCACCAATAAAATCAAACTCAGCTTCTCTTTTGAAAGAGAGGGAATAAGATAAAACAGAGGTCCTAAATGAGTTCACCCCATTCTGACCAGTTTCAAATGAGTTAAACTCGTGTCATTTTACCTCCTCAAAACCTCTACCAACCATTTGAAAAGGTTACACACCTTATCAAGAGTAGTGCAAACAAGAAAGACTTAACAAACAGAAAAAAACCTAAGTAAAAATGCAGACTTGCATTCCATGGGCCTCTTATCTTACTGTGAGTATCTGTTCAGCATTTAAACATCTCCCTTCTTGTATGGACAACTAAAATAAAGTATTACCAACAGTCTGGGGCATCATTTAAACATATTTCAGAGTTTAGCTATCCCCAGCAGTAGGAGAGGGAGGGAACTAAGGATATCCTATAATGCAACACACAATATGCACAGGCTAAGCCTCTGAGATTACATATGTAAACAAACTCAATTGTAGTTATGTACTTTAGAGGTTGTTGGCTCACAGCCCTTAATTAAAGGACTTGGAAACTAAGCCCAATATGTACCTCCAGACAGGAAGGAGTTGGGCTTCATGTGCGGATATATTCCACTTTCCTGAAAGTACATCAACAAACTCTGCACAGAAAGGAAGGCTTAGAATCTTTGGAGGTGAGAGGACAATACTAAAGCCACTGAACGTATGTTCCAAAAAAAAAACAAACCCAAAAAACAACCAGATCCCTCTAAAGAGCGGGGAGCTGAGAACTAGAAGAAAAATCTCATATCCTTTGGGCTTTTGGATAGTTAAGATTTGTCTTCTTGGGAGAAGGAACAGTGACTCAGAGAAACCCAGACTACAGACAAGGTTTCTCCACAGGGCTACATACATTGCTAAGGTCTGGGGCATGTGGACTGGAAGGGCTGACTGGAACAGAATCCCCAGCTGCCGACGGCATGTACATCACTGGCCCTGGCTGGGTGGGGCTGGACACGGCCGAGGATTGCTGCAGATCTTCACTGAGGGCAGGCTCTGCAAGGGATAAAAGCACAGGCAGCATTACTCAAAGTTGTAAAACTGCAGTGGGGCACAAGACATTTAGGAACAAGAATACCTAGATCCTCCTCAGAGGAAAAAATATTCTACAAGCGCCTGTTTGTAAGTATAGAAGCAAAGAGAAACCTTATTTGGCAAACGGCTACCACTCATCTGATGTTCCTTACATTATTACTGCCATCACAGGTACACTGTGCTGCTCTTTAGTCCATTAATGCTGCTCCAAAATTATCTTCCCTGCATGAATTGTGTGTTATTCATTCAGCTCTCTTGAACTAAGCAGAGCTTCCTTCATTGCTAGGCATAAAGTTGATGGGTGCATTATAATTAGCTGAGGGAGTTAAGTTTCATCTGTGCTCAGTGCAAATCATTACCAAAAAAAAGGTGTCAGTGGTTCAGAAGGTAAAGATGCTGTAGACTTGTAGTATTTACATCTAACACGAGTCAGCATCTTTACAGAAACAGTTACAGAACTGACACTACACCTGTATTGTAGTATCTTTGAAGTGCTGGTTTCAACACATTTCTTGCTAATAATCAGCAAAAGTCATGCCTGGAGCAGATATTTTAACTGAATTAGGCACTCAGTGTTCAGCTAGCTAAGGAAGGACTAAAAGATGTAACTCCATAAGACAGCACAGGAAATAACCACGTTGGAATGACCAAAGTGCCACAGAATGTTACTTTCCCTTTAAGTAGTATAATATCAAATGCAGCAATATTTTCAGGAGCACGGCATCCCTAATTAAAAATACTACATTATACCAAAGGAATTTTGCAAAACACTGTTCCTTTATCAAGATTTCATTCTATAAAGCTTGCTGGATCACACTGTGTAGTTGCACTCCTGTGTTTTGGGTGATTACAGCCCACAGCTCCAGCTATAATTACTGCTTGTCAACAAGGCCTCCTATAAAAGGAACCGTATAACCTGTAGGGAATTTACTCTCCCCATTCCTTGACAAAGGCAGCAATTACTAATTCCCTCATTTACAAAGGATAATCAAATAACAAAGAGATTTTCTCAAGGCCATGTAGTGAGTCAGTATATCAGAGCCAATCTACTGAGTTCTGAGTAACCTGCTCTAATTGCTGCAAAGTCAGCAGTGAGATTGGAGTGTAGAAACCAAGAAGAAGCCATAGGACAGGAACCAACCATTATTTATGAATGTTAGTACCCACCTGTATATAGAACTCCCACAATCAAAACAGCATCACTAGATGATTAAAGTAAGGATTGAAATAATGCCCTATAAATCAGGGAGCTACTGAGAGAAGAGGATTTAAGGAAAAGCAGGAAAAAAGCTGCATATTTTTCTTCTTCAACCTGACTTAAAGATTTAAACTCTAAGTAAAACAGCATTTAATTTTTTTTAATGTATCAATATATTATCTATAATTAGCAACTTTACCCTCAGCTTTTTAAAGCACAACACTTTGCAGCTTATCTAGGTACAGTTCATCCATGCACAGAAGAGAAGCAGTTTTGTCCATTTCCATCCTCCTGAACTGACACAGAGAACTGAGCAGGTGAGAGGGAACAGAGGGAGATCCTTCAAGAGTCAGTGAGCTAAGGGCCAAGTCCTACAGAGTACCTACTGCCTCCAGCTCTGCTGACACCTTCCACACTAGCATGGTTTTATAGAAATTATCAAAGTTAACACTTTGGTTTGAAAAACCTTCACAGAAGTTCTGGTTTTTCAGCCCTGTATCTTAAAGTGTTTTGGTCAGAAGCTCTCCATAGCTCAAATACCCACGAAAGATGAGAGAAGTAGTCCACGTACGTTCTACATGTGCAAAGGCACAGAAGGGTCCTCGGGGACAGCTGCCAGACTGCTGCATATCATTGCATTTGGTGGATTTGTAGATCTAAGGATGGGAGAAAACAAAAAAAACCCGAAAACTGACATGAACAGAAAATAACAGTGACCACCAGCCCAGGTACAAAAGTTCTATGAAGAAACTCAACAGCAAGGTAGAGAGACAAAGGTGCAAAGGCCAGCAGAGCTCAGGGTGACCGTTTCAGTGCTTTGCTTCAAAGAAAGGAAAACCCATTAGAGTTCTGGAAACACCAAAATATGCCCATCACAGCAAGAGCTCACCCAAAGACCAACCCACCACACACCAGCTCACCCAAAGGTGAAGTCCCCCAGTCTTACTGGAGGCTCCGTGAATATTACAAATGGCAAAAGGTAGGAAACAGTTGACAGATGACAGCACAGAAAGTTCCAGCCACATGTTTGCAAGGAAAATAACAAACCATTGACAATGATTGTAGCAAATGGATTATTCCCTTCCCCCCAGTTTGACAGGCGGTGACAATGGTTACTTTGCCGATAGGGGCCCAACAAAGCTTTTCAACACTGTAACATGAAGCAGACTACGAAAAGGTCTTAATTACACTTTCTGTGAGGATATTGGAATGCTCTGGGCATGCTGACAACCAAGAGCTCAGTGGTGTTCAGTGCTATCATCATCAACCACAAGCTTTTATTCAGGGAAACAGATGCCGTATGCTCACATGCAGACCCACATCGTGCTTTCCTAATGGCCCCATACATGAGACTGCTCTCACACTTGAGATTTTCCCCACTTTTCTTACCTCCTCCCATGTGGTCTACCTAACAAAAATCTGTCAGGCAGCTGAATTTAAGCTTACTCCCAATATGCAGTTTCTCTGTATCCCAGGACTACACTAGAAGCAGCCCACATGTTCTCCCACCTGGTACACTAATTTATTTCGTAAGACTGGAATGCTTTTGGCTTTTCTATCAACTACCAAACGGAGCAAGGAGGTTACTGTACCTCTGGATGGAACTGCTGTTCTGTGCGAGTGTGGCAGTACTGGCACGAGTCTCCATTTTCACACTTACTGGGATCTCCCCACTCGTCTCCGTGTTTCACACTGGGACATGGTGAAGATCTGTGTAAATAAGGCAGCAGGAGAATGCATCAGACTCACAGATGAGCTTTGTGCTTTCATTACTTTGAGCAGGTGGAGGGAGGTGAGTCCCCCTCTGCTCCGCTGCCCTGAGACCCCACCTGAAGCTGCATCCAGCTCTGGGGTCCCCAACATGGGAAGGACATGGACGTGGTGGAGCAAGTCCAGAGGAGGCCACGAAGATGCTCCAAGGGCTGGAGCACCTCCACTATGGACACAGGCTGGGAGAGTTGGAGTTGTTCAGCCTGGAGAAGGGAAGGCTCTGGGGAGACCTTAAGAGTCCCTTCCAGTGCCTAACGGGGCTCCAAGAGAGCTGGAGAGGGACTTTAGACAAGGGCCTGGAGTGGCAAGACTGAGAGTAATGGCTTTAAACCAAAAGAGAGTAGATTTAGATTAGATACAAGGAAAAAATCATTCCCTGTGAGGGTAGGGAGGCCCTGGCACAGGTTGCCCAGAGAAGCTGTGGTTGCCCCATCCCTGGAAGTGTCCAAGGCCAGGCTGGGTGGGTCTTGGAGCAACCTGGTCTAATAGAAGGTGTCCCTGCCCATGGCAGGGGGTTGGAACTAGATAATCATTAAGGTCCCTTCCAAGCCAAACCATCCTATGATGTTACAATTCCCTGACCAGGGGGCAGGTTTGGCTGCCCACCCTTAGCTGTGCAGTCTGCTTGGCTGCTGCTTCCCCAGCCCCCACCCACTGCTACTGCATCTTCTTCCCCTTCTTCCAGTTTTCCAATGAAAGAAACATGGCTTAATTCTCTATTTGAAACAGAATACAACTTGAACCAACACACACAACTTAACAATATTAGCAGCTGATGTGATTAGTGTCAGAGACGCTGGGTCTGGTTTCTGTTTTGGAACTGCACCTTCATAGAAAGCTAAGAAGTTAATTGGCTAATCCTAAAACACATAATACCCTTACAGCAGTATGTTTCCAGGTTTATAGTGTGGCCATGTGGAAAAGAGGCTGAGTCAGGTCACTGGGGAAAAGGCAAGTCCGTTTTCTTTCTCCCATACAGGAATGGTTCTTTTTTTTCAAGATCTGAATTTCTGCCGTGACCTACTTCCCCTGCTCTTTATGCTCTTAACCATTCCCTCAAACAACAGCAGAGGGAAGCAGATAGCAGCACCAGCACAGCCGGCATGAGAGGAGCCACATCAGCTGGGGGTGGGGAAAACACAGGAGTGGAGATCTGGAGGGGAGAAGCTTTCACCTCTTCCCCTCCCACAGGGCCCAGGCAGAGGCAGAAAGCACACAGCTGCTGCCTGAAGACTGCCTTAGTGTTCCTGTTCCTCCTGAAAGTGTTGGGACTAATGTTCCTTTGGTGTCCGCCTGTTAAATTTTTTTAAATGCAGAATTTCAGTGCCAATTCAAAAAATTTCTGTGAATGCTGGCGGTGGGGAAGGGAAGCGAGAACATCCACGGCATTTTCTCTCCTGGCTTTCTGGTCTGCTCCTATGTTTTTCAAAAAGGAACTAAGGAAAAGCCCCACTGAGACCACAACAAAAGCTCTGTTGTGTTGGAGGAAATGAGGGCCTATAATTTGGATGAAATGCGTTCAGGGAGACACAGCACGCTGAAAAATCCAGCGACAGCTGAGTGACAGAACACCCTGGAGCCTCAAAAGCAGAGCCTTTAGCAGCTGGTTAGGAATGCATGTCCAGCTACAGTCCTGCTCACCCTGTGCCTCATGATCCCCATCACCAGGCACACACAACAAGCAGCCTGATGATTCTGAATCCTTTACCATGAAAACACTGTTGTGTGAGTTTGTTTCTAGATGGGGATTAAAACTTCCTTTTGTTTTCTTTTCCCTGCGCTGCTTTCTAAAGCAGAAGTTTACGTGGGAAGGGGAAGCCAGACACAGGTCTGTCTGCTATAAAATCAGAGCTGTAATGTGATTAACAATTCATTTGTTAGAGACACTGGTTCCTATATACAGGAAAACTCCTTGTTTAGTTTGTTATCCTTCTCCCAGTGAGAAATAACAGCCCATCACATCTCCTGCCTTGGAGATACGCTAAAAACAACTATCTAGTGGTCAAAATCCTGGCTCCTTCATCACAGATTTCCAATACACTGCACCACTCAGCTGGGAAGTAGCATATCCAGGATCACAGTACCTGTATTTGTGTTTTCTTGGACTTCTTCTTCTGTCTTTGCTATTGTGGTAGTAGGGACAGGCATAACCCTGGCGACAGAGCCGGGGGGGTTTCTTACATTGCTCTGTCTTGTAATTTCCCAACACATACGTTGTATCTGCAAAACAAGCAACCAGTCAGTGGGAGATGACCACCATCTGTATTACTATAAAAAAGCTTTTGACAGGAGCAAGCACCCCAGAGAAACCAGACTTTGCCAGCCCCACATATCCTAAGTGACACTCACCTTGCCACCTCGGCTCCTCACTGAGTATTTTCTCTATCATGGCATGGCTGGCAGCGACTGCAGACTGACCCTCTATGCCTCCTTCAGATGTTGTCTGACCATTCTGCAAAGCCTCCATGGCCTGAAGCTCCCTTTGGGGACAGAGTTAAATGAACAGACTGAGCAGATGAAGAGTCAGGTATGTGTGCATAAAAACTGACATACTAGGGCATTTCCTAAGTGGGTGCACTTCAGTCATGCATTTTTTGTCAGAATATCTTTAGCTGAACAGCAACTGTAATAAAAAAAAACAACTTAATTCTCTGGGAATTCCAGATGCACTATTTTGACTCCTCCATGAAATTCCAAAGTGTGATCCCTTCCCCCATTTTGACAGTCCTCCCTAGAGATTTTGTAGATTTGCCTTATTAGGAAGGGATATTTCATCATCACTCCATTTCATGCTGAAGCAGTACTGTCCTTCAACCACCTCACTTTTCATTTGGGTACAGAAATTACCTTTTCCATAGAGAGCCCCAACCTCCACTCCCTCTTTTCCCTGCGCTGCTTTCCAAAACATGAGCTTATGTGGTAAGGGGAAGGCAGACACGGGTCTGTTTGCTATAAAATCAGAGTTGTAACATGATTTAACAGTTCATTTCCATAACAATTCACTTCCTGCCCCCACCTGATGTCGTACACGGGCGAGCGCAGGTCATGGGGCCCATGAGCGAACGCGCAGTGGACTCCGTTCTTCGTGCAGTTTCCCTTGGAGTCTGTCTCATGGATGCAGATTCCAGTTTTGTAGTAGCGTAAGTGATACCTCCTCTCTGTGTCTCCAGTAGTTCTGTGCAAGAAGGGACACCTGAGGGAGGGAAGGAGGGGAAGAACAAAGTTTAGTCACGCGGGTGATGGATTCGACACCACCAGAAGACACACTGCTGATGTGATTCAGGACACTGAAGCTGGCAACACCTTTGCTAACTCTGCCCCTTCTTTTATGCTGTCCCAGTGCTACAGAGAACTCCCAAACCTGTCACTGCACAGGATGTAGTTTCCCTCCCAAAAAGACAACTGGATTATTAAGCCAGCAGATCCTTATGGTTCTGATCTAGTGACTGCCAGGGACTGGAAAAGAGCAAGGACACTGCCAAGGTGTCCTGATGTACTGGCTGGGATTGAAGGGACCTCACATACCATTTCCTCAGCAGCCCATCTAGACTTGGTGCTGTTACTGTTTCCTGCTGATGCACCTAGAGATGCAGCCTTTATGCAGAGCATGGGACAAGAAAGGAGAATTACAATACTTATCATTTTAACTTGTGTTTTATTTCCCCTCTTAGGCAGAGAAGGAACAAGCTATCCTGACAATTTAAAAAAAAAAAAATGGAATAGGCAAAGTTTAGATATTGCAGCATCAAGCTAAAAATATAAATCAGCAAGAGTTCTGAGATGACAACTGCTTTCATTCCCTGAGTGCAAGCCAGATATCAACCAGTGATCTAGAAGCCAAAGCCCACAAATATCCCATTTCCAGTTTTTTCCAGATCTCTTCTAACAAGGAAGAAAGTATTGAAATTGAAGCTTCAGTCTGAGGGACTATTTCATTCTGCTCTAGTCACAAAAACTTTACTTAATCGGGTAAAAAAAAAAAGAGAGAAAAAAATACTGTTTTCCCAATAAATAGCATTTTTGTGTGTTTATACTGGCACCATGAAAGGGAACTGAATTCCATCTTTTTACAACATCTCTACATAAAACACTCCCCATATTTGACCACAGTTTGGTTACACTATTTATTCTTCCATATCTGTCACATGGCTAAAGTTATATTACTGGGTTAACCCCTTAATTGCTGGGGTCTGCCACATGCACAGCAGAAACACTTGCAACTCTGCCCCAGCTAAACTTATCACAGTCATGAGGAGAGAACACCCAAAAAACCAAACTCTTCCTCATGTTGCTTTATTCTGGGTACTTGTCATTTCCCTACTGCCTTCTTTAAAGTTCCAGAAGACAAAATAAACTGGTATGTTTTTAAAAGCTGGGGACAGATAACTCAGGGGGCAGACTAGAGGACAAAGCTCCTCCTTTTTTTCTTCTATCTGTGAAAAACTAAGTTACCCTGCTAGCGAGCAAGCGCTGTTACTTGAGAGTCAGGGACTTACAGGAACAGAGTTTTTTTGTCACTGAGCTGTTTTTCCCACCTGAGTTTTGCTGAAGATGCCAAGGACAGTGAATTCCCAAGAGCCAAACTCCCATCTAAGTCACCCTTAGCAGGCCTGGAGCACACAGACTGCTGTTACAGCTTTTACATCTCGTCTCATGTTACGTCTGTGACAAAGCTGCTTTACTGCTGACTTGCCTCATCTCCACAAGAACTGGCTGGAATCATCACCTGGACTGATCCCAAAAGCCTAATGCCTGAAAAGCAGGGTGCAGTCCTTCACTTACTCATCTCCTTCTGGGCAGATTCCCGTGGTCTCGTCATACTTGGTGCAGTAGATGTCGGGGCTGTAGTTGAAGGTGCCGTCGCGGCGGCGGATGGACCTGCGGCGGCGCTGGTTCACGAAGTGCCAGTGGAAGCAGGTGTAGGGCCGGTGCTGAGTGCACTTGTGCTGCACGAACAGGGGGCACTGCTCCGTGCGGAACTCCTTCAGGTACCTGCGGGCACACACCCAGCAGCAGGGCATCAGGAGCGGGATGCGGGGCAGAGGCAACGTCCGATCACCCCACAGAGTCCAGGCCAAAGCGAGCTGCATCCATCAGAGATGCCAACTGTGCTTCCCACACCCTCCCTGCTGGCGCTCCCGGGGATGGAGGCTGGGAGCTGCTTGTGTCTGTAATGGCAAGATATCCATTACACACAGGAATGTAACAAGAGCTGAAATCACTTTCTATCGGGATCACTTTGAAGAGGCTTTTCATGAGCTTAGAAAATAGTTTGTGAGGAAACAGAACTCTTAAGTACCTTTCTATGCATTTCTATCTCCAAACCAGTGACCCACCAGGGCAAATAGGGGTTTCCTTCCTGTACGTTCAGTTAAAAAAACCAAACAAATAAAATACACTTCTTTGAGCCATGTTTAAAGCTTCAAGTGATAGAGAAAGAAAGATTTTTAAAACTCTTTCATGTCTTATCCTCGTGGTTTAACTCAGCTTCTTCAGTACATGGTCAACTATAAAATTAAAATTAATCAATTTCTCTCTTGCAACAGCGTCAATTCAGGGCTCAGTCACGAAAAGTGGGATAACTATCCTCGAACTCCCACATGTTTATATTGCTTTAATTTTAATATGTAATTCTCTGATAGTACACGTCTTCTTTTATCCTGAGAACTAAAGAAGTCACAAGCTTTTATTTGTGACACTAATAACAGTCTCTAAACCCAGATTGTAGAGGATTACAAAATGGTTTAGATCAACATAATGATCTGACTGTGATCTGTGTGTAGGTGCTTACAAAATCCACGCTGCTGAAACCCACGGGCTGCCCTGTATTTACGGGGAACACCCAAACAGCTCATGGAGGTCGGACCCAAATCCCACCAGGTTCGGTGTCGGAGACACATCCACAAACAAGGCAGAAGCATTCTGGTCTCCTACATATAGAGGTCAGTGTAAACAGTGAGTACCAAAATTTGTAGGTCAAAATCAAAATGCGAGTATTCTGCTGGAAGCAACAGGGTGATATAACAGCAGATACGGACTCATTTTAAACTGCGTATGTACTCCGAGGCAACAAAACGGAGCACAGGACTTTCTCTAGCATTCATTCCCATGTCAGACAATCTTTATCTCGTATTTCTAAATAAATGGAAAGAAGTCTGATGCCCAAAGATGTATTTACAGATAATATCATCATGCCAGGCTCATTCTGAAAGCAACATCTGTAAATAAAGCCTCCTTTCCTCTTTACCCCCGGCTGAAGAGAAAGCCTCGGGAAAATGCACAAATTCAACCAAAGTGGTTTTATTCGTTTGCTATGAAGAGAGAGTATCACTGGCAAGAGCTTTCCTACATTGGATTTTACAAGCATGAAAGGATAAAAGCTCTTCCTCCTCTTCAGCCTCTAAATACGTGAGATTTGCAGGTTCCACGGCTTCGGATCTGCAGACGCCCGGGGCTGGAAGCCTCCGCAGCGGCTGTAAGCCCTTCCCTACCCAAGCCCATCTGTCCCCTGCAATCCAGCGTGGCTGGAACAGTATCTGCACTGGGGCCCAAGGCTTAACAGCAAGAAAACCAGAGCCAGCTGCAGAAACAGGTCTGCTCAGCGTAGGTAAGGGCTAAAAACATCACTCTGCTCCTGTTCACTCTTAAAAATCCATCTCCATTCAAATGGAGATCCCTACTCCAGCCACAGCAGTAATTAGCCTGAAAACTGAAGGCTGCAGTAAAATTCATCCATTCTTGAAAAGCTTTCTAAGTTGTTGAACCAAATGCAGTTGTAGAAGGAGGAATTCCACAGATTATTTTATCTTATTAGCACACTAAGTGCTCAAAAGCAACTCTAACATTTTCGTTAGGAAGCGAATTAAGTAACCTTAAGCAGCATGATGTTTAGACTGCTGTCCACAATCACCAACCAGTTGCTTGCACTCCCACGTCTCCACACACACCTTAGAGACACAAGATTTGTGTTACTCCCATTTTATATATGGACAAACTACAAAACAGCTGGCTACGTGCTCCAGCTGGTATCATACAGCAACTGGAATCTGTGACAGAAACCAAGAGCATTTGAACTCCTCCATCTTCACCAAGTCCTAGGCTTAAGTTCAGGAACAGCATCCTGAGCCTACTCAATGCTCTGGAAACTAAGGGGAGATACCAGGCTTACACAAGCCGGGTATCGAGCACAGCACTCCAGACTTGCAGTGACAGGCACATATAAAACACTTAAAAATCCTAGAATTTAACAACTGCACGATCAGCTGAGCTGAAACAGCTTCCCTTTAGCAGGGAAGTTTAAAAATGTACACACTGACGAGGGATTTCGGTCTCTAGTGTCTCAATTGTTGCTGAAGAGCATTTGAAAATTAATTGCATTTCATGATTGGCTAAACTCCCTGGAGAAACATTTATTATAATGTAAATGAGAGATAATTACATAAGTAAATGGTTCACCTGAAAAGTGTTTAACACCTAACTTGCTTCATCAGAAAGTCATTCTTTAATGCTGTCTATTAAATAAATGATGTCTCATTCTTAATTTCAAAGCAAGTCCTGCAAACAGGTACCAGAGCTCCACAAGAGACATTAACTGTGCATGATCACCTCTGCAACAGACTGGAGGAAAAGGAGAGTTGTCACATTAACTCGCTCATTTCAAGCCTTTCAATCACTGCTCTGGGTTTTTCTTTTTTCCAAGCCACTACAACGTTTTAAATCACCCTCCTCCCACAATAGCCTGAATGGTAAATTGCCTTATAGCCCTTTATTTTCTTGATCCATGAAGTGAGTTTTGGCTCCTCTGGGAGAACACGGACCACTCAACCAGCCACTTTGTATTAAAATATATGAAAGGCATCTAAACCACATGTGTTTTGGGAAGACAGAAAGGATACGCAGCTCTCACTACCGCAATGTGGTGTCTCACAAAGCAGAAAGCCATTAATATTTCAGTAGCCTCCTTGCAAAGGCTCTAAACAAAAACGTAGAGAACACTGTCATGACAGATCCTTCTGGTGTCAATGGTCTCTATAATTTTTTTTTTCCCCCCAGAACAGCTGAGAAAAGGAATTTTTGAACGACCCTTGAAGCTGAAAACATGTTGATAACTGGTACACATTTCACAGCGTGTCAGCCAAACGCTGTGTCTGTACAGGAAGAGGAAATCCAGCAATGATAACTTGCATTTCTCAACTCCTCTCAGGAAACTCTACCGCCCCTACATGAGGGGCAGAAGAATTATTACCCCTGTTTTATACAGGAGTTACTTCTATATTTAATTTTTTTTAACAATATGTGTAATATTTTCAAACTAATATAATTTTTGGAAAAAAGTGGAAAGCACATAGCACTGTCTTCCTCTGACACTACGTGAACATCAACAGCAACACCCACATTCCTGGAGGAAATGTTACCATTTATGAGCCTTAGTAAACAAAGATGAATGCAATTCTAAACAAATAGGACAAGACTGGCTAGAACAATGCAGATCAAAGTCCCCGGGCTGAACTGAACTTGCTGCTGAACAGGACGGATGCTATTGGATATCAATGTTTTTTTCACTAGGAAGACAAGAGGAGAGGTTCTTGGGGTACTTTGGGAACTTCCAGAGACCAACAGGAGCGGCAAAGTATTAGAAAAACCCCAATGCTACTCTGCTGAAATTCCCACTTCCTCTGGGGTGGGTTATGAGAAGGGGCAGTGATTACTCTGCAAGGAAAAAAAAAAAACCTAGAAAGAAGGAGGGGAAAAAAAAAAACCCCAAACAAAAAACCACAAACAAACAACAAAAAGAGCAAAACCAAGAAGAAACTCTAACCCAGAAGTTTCATTTCTACACACCACAATTGCAGCCATGTCTTAGCCACTTTCATCACCTGCCACTGCAGAGATCTCTTGTTTCTCTGCAGCTTTACTGGTTCACACTGGTGCACTCAAGCAGCTCAGTAGGACAGGATACCTGCATCCATCCCACTTCCAGGGCTGCAACTTCCTGCCAACCCTGACATAAGTCACACGTGCAGGGGAGTGAGCTCAATTCAGGAAAATGTGCTGGTAATGCACGAAGACAGCTGAGCTCCAAATTCCTCACAAAAGCCTTACCCTAAGCTCCCAGAAATCACTGGAAGATGCACACTGATGCCAAGAAAGAGTCCCTGCTTTGTAACAGAGGGATCAGGAAGACAGGGGGAGAGAAACAATTCGGAGGAGCAAGGAAATGAAAGGATTAAAACCAACTCTTCCAAACTCCTGTTGCTTCTGTAATGCAAAGCCAGGCTCTCCTTTGCTTCCAACACTCTGTTTGAAATCTTTACGGAGGTCCCAAGACAAGCTCCTCTCCTTTGCAGCCTTTCTTGTTCCTCCTGGTCAACCCCCTTTCTGCCAAAATTCCTCCCAGGAAGAGAGGAGGGACCAAAGTGAGCGCGGAGGCTCATAAACAGGATCTGAACCTTCTGCATCAATACAACACCAGAGACAAACCCATGAGATAATTGTTTGGCCAATCCAGACTAGGACACTGTCAGCAAATGTAGGGCAATAGTGAGATCTAACACCACCGACATGGAGATTTCACATACGTGTGGGTGTGTGTTTACACCCGTGGAACTGCTGCAGCACCTCAGTAAAGAGCCCTGCTGAGCAGTTGGTACCAGCACTAGTATCAGTCCAGTGTCAAATACACACAGCTTTTACACCACTAGCATTTATATTAATCACTAGTTCAGGCTTGTACTTGGCACTGCCCAAAAGGGCCCACAGAGGCAAATTTAACCAAGAATTCTACAAATAAACTGTTTGGTTGTGTGTTTTGTCTTGGGTTTTGGTTTGTTTGGGTTTTTTTTTTTCCTTCAAACCAAGGCTTAAGTTCCTGATAAAATTCAAGGCGTCAGGAAGAAAATGCTCTTCTGCCATTACCATTTATTTTAGTCCTGCCTGCCTTCTCTCAGCAAAGTATCACGCTGGCAAAGATGTCACTTCATCGGCACAAAAGT